ATTTCATTATGTTAAAATTTTTTATGGTATTTTTTCTACTTTTTATCATATGTTTTATTTTATCATTTAATTTTTATTTTTATTTTCATATTATATTATTATTATATTGTGTTTTGTCTTAATTAAATTTTACTTTCTTTTATTAAATTTTTTTCTATTTCATTTTTTTAATTTTATTGTAAAATTATAATTTGTTCAGTTTATTTAATTTAATTTAATTTTAAATTTTTTATTAGAATTTATTTCTATTTTTTTTATTTTATATGTATTATTTTGTTTTATATTATTTATTTCTTTATTATATTACCTTATTGTATTTTGTATTTTGTTTTAAATTATATTATTTTTTAATTTATTTCAATTTAGTATGTTTAATTAAATTTTATTTTATTTAATTTTTTATTTTATTTTATTTTAATATTGTATTTTGCTTGGTTTATTTAATTTAATTTAAGTTTAAATTTTTTATAATATTTTTCTCCTTTTTTATATATATATTTTTCTGTTATCTATTTAATATTATTTTCAATTTCTCTTAAATTGGTTTTATATTATTTTTTATCTTATTTTAACTTACTTTACTAAATTAATTTTTATTTAATTTTTTATTTTATCTTATTTTATTATTGTATTTTGCTTAGGAAACATAATTTAATTTTTAATAATATTTTATAACTGTTTTTTATTTCTATATTTTATTTTGTTTATATTTTTTCTTGTCTTCTTTATATTATTTTATTTTTATCTTATATTATTTGTTTATCTTCTTCTTTAAAAAAAAAATTATTTAATTTACCTTTATCTTAGTATTGTATTTTACTTTATAAATTTAATTAATTTAATTTTAAAATTTGTGTAATATTTTCATTAAATTTTTTTCTTTAATATGTATTATTTAGTTCTATATTATTTATTTTTTTTACTTTATTGTACTTTTTATTTTATATTATATCAATTTTGTTTTTATATTATATTGCTTTTTATATTATTTGAATTTATTTTATTTAATACAATTCAATTTTATCTTGTTTCATTATTTTGTTTTAGGTTATATACCTTTATTTCTTTACATTATTTTATATTAATTTATTATATATTTTTTGTTCATATTATTTTATTTTTATTCTTGTTTGTTTTTATTTCATTTTTTTTCACTTTTTTCATTTATTTCATTTTCACTTAGCAACATTTATTATGCTTCACGCCGCCATTTAACATAGTGCCCTTCTTAGGATCTAAGCGTTCTGATCTAAATTCTCAAGGTAAACCCAATTTTTTCATGAATTGTTTAAAACCTAAATCCCGAGGAGGCACAGTCGGTATGTGCGAGTATGGATTTAGTTGTCACCCGAATATTCTTAGACCTGCAAATCAACACAAGTGTTTAAATACTCTTTTACTGAAATATATTCTATTCTCATTAACATATTTTACGTCAGTTTATCGCATGTTTCGTTCTATTTACACAACTTAATGAAGTTCAAGTACAAAAGTATTTTTCTATTTGCATAATTTTCTTGCATGTGAAATTATTTTTGCTTTTCTGAAGCTAATGACATACCAACTACAGCCAGGTCCTTCTCCAACTTTTCTTTCCAACAAAGTGGAAGGCTTCCACTTCCTCTGCTTCCAAAGCTGGAGTATTCTTATCCACCCGGATCACTTGTAGGTCAAGGCTACCATAGCCGCTGTCTCCTGATTCGTTGAACTATGTCAATTTTGCTCAGTGTTCCAGCGTCATTCGAAACTCCAAGGATCATAAATTGTTCGCAAAAGTTTGCTCTCAAAAACTAACAACCACGGCTCATCAAATATTGAGGGACAGGAATAATCAGCGGATTGTAGAGCTTGGTCTTTGTTCCTCGAGAGATGAATTTACTTTTCAATTGTCTGCTAATTCAGGTGATTTCAGCGTTGGGTTTCAATACGGACATTGTGGTTGGTGTTAATGCTGGTTCCAATATAGAAAAAAATTATTTACGACTGTCAAGTGATGTGCGAGCCGATTCGTCGTGAATTCGATGATTGTTTGTTTGATGACAAAAGATATTTTGTCAAGCCCTCCATCACCATTACAACCGTGCGCTGCGCATCCTCAAACAGTCTGGAGAAAGCAGAACTCAACGCGCGGTTGTGATGTTAAAAAAGCCTCACAGAGGCCCTTACCAATCCTGAAGAAGCTTTTGGTCTTGCTTAACGTTAGACATAGTAACGTTGAGGCAGCTGCTTTTCATGCTGTGGAAAGGCTACTTTCAAAACACAAAGTATTGGTGCTTTCCAAGATTTCGCAAATTGTGAATATTTAGTCAATGACAGTGATAAGGACCGATCAATTTGTTAACGGCTTGAGGACTTGAGTCTTTCACACAAAACGTTGGATAGAACCTTATGTACGATATTGAGGAGGCTTATAAGAGGGAATCGGGGATGCAGATTGTGGGATCGCTCTTTAGGTGGATTGGGTAGAACGCACTTGGTTTCCATTTGCCGGCCACGCTAACATCCGACCATAATTTGCTGATGCATACACCTTATCAGTTCTTCGCCGTCGTACTTGAATAGCTCGGCCGACACACCATCGGCCACCGCTGCTTTGTTGTTTTTCAAGCGGACAAATGCCTAACGAACTTCTTCATAGTCAAGCAATGATTTATCTGATTCATCGTAATCGACTGCGGAATCGGAATCGCCTGCTCCTGGTGTTCCATTTTAACTGCTATTCAGCGGTTTCGTGAAGTGTCCCCTCGTGCCTTTATGAATTTTTTGGGCTGAAATCTAGTACAACAGTCAACCATATTGTAAGTTTTAACATATAAATCACTCAGTTTATTTCACAAAAAAAAAAAAAAAACAAAAAAAAAACGAAAAAAAATCGCAAACTCCTCGTAGTTATGCAAGAGTCAGAACAATTAATAAAAATCCCCACACGCAATTATATTATTTTATTTCATTTATTTTTTATTAATATTTTTTAATTGGAAACCTTTGTTTCTCTATTTGCTGAGCGTTGAGTAAGTGCGAAGGAGAGCAGCAGCAATATCCAAAGTACATACATATGTACAATACATTTCTGATATGATCAAGTTGACGAATAAGTTTAGTTCAAAAGCTGTGATTTTGTACTTTAAACTTTATCAAATGACTATAAGTGCACACAATGACAGTTGTTGAACGTGTTATTTCAACAAGTATTTGATGTGTAAATGTACAATAATTCGTTAAGAACTCATGCGCATGAGTAAACATGCATATGTACATATGTATGTAAGAATGCATAAAAGAAATTTATTATTTTCATTTAATAGTTCTTCTATTGGGTTGCCCAAAAAGTAATTGCGGAGTTTTCATATAGTCGGCGTTGACAAATTTTTTCAACGGCTTGTGACTCTGTAATTGCATTCTTTCTTCTGTCAGTTATCAGCTGTTACTTTTAGCTTGCTTTAGAAAAAAAGTGCGCGAAATTTTGTTTACATTTGTTTGTTTGGCGTCAATTTTAATATGGAGCCCACAAAGGAGCATTTTCGTCATATTTTACTTTATTATTTCCGTAAAGGAAAAAACGCGGAGCAGGTTGCTAAAAAGTTACGAGATGTGTATGGTGATGAAGCCTTAAAAGGAAGACAGTGTCAAAATTGGTTTCGCAAATTCCGTTCTGGAGATTTTTCACTTAAAGATGAGCCACGTTCAGGTCGGCCAAATGAAGTTGATGATGACCAAATCAAAGCATTAATCGAATTGGATCGTCATGTAACTGAGCGTGAGATAGGAGAGAAGTTAAATATACCAAAATCAACCGTTCATTATCACATAAAAAGTCTTGGACTGGTGAAAAAGCTTGATATTTGGGTACCACATGTATTGAAAGAAATTCATTTAACACACCGAATCAACGCTTGTGATATGCACCTTAAACGCAATGAATTCGATCCGTTTTTAAAACGAATCATAACTGGAGATGAAAAATGGATTGTTTACAACAACGTTAGTCGAAAACGATCATGGTCCAAGCATGGTGAACCAGCTCAAACCACTTCAAAGGCTGATATCCACCAAAAGAAGGTTATGCTGTCTGTTTGGTGGGATTGGAAGGGTGTCGTATATTTTGAGCTGCTTCCAAGGAACCAAACGATTAATTCGGATGTTTACCATCAACAATTGGAAAAATTGAATACAGCCATCAAGGAGAAGCGACCAGAATTGGTCAATCATAAAGGTGTCATATTCCACCAGGACAACGCTAGACCGCACACATCTTTGGTCACTCGCCAAAAACTGAGTGAGCTTGGCTGGGAGCTTTTGATGCATCCACCATATAGCCCTGACCTTGCACCATCAGACTACCATTTATTTCGATCTTTGCAGAACTCCTTAAATGGTAAAACTTTCGGCAATGGGGAGGCTATAAAATCGCACTAAATTTGCCAGGAAGATGGCAAAAGGTTATCGAACAAAATGGCAATTATATTTTTGATTACAGTTCATTCTAAGTCTTATTAAAAATGCATTTACTTTCTTTTAAAAAATCCGCAATTACTTTTTGGGCAACCCAATTTTTATGCATATGAGGTAATTTATTTTATTCTGTCAGCATCACATAGCGCCAATGATGAAGAATACAAAATTTCCATTTTTTTTTTTAGTAAATATTTAAGCAAATTGCGACAGTGCAGCATTTTCTTTCGGCAAGCTATGGGCCGCAGGCCATGATTGAGCTTAGGGCTGCCGCAGCTGCCGTTGTCGTTCTCGTTGTGCTCGTCGTATAATCTGTTACCATGTTTTACCGCATGAAATTGGCTGTAATATTTGCTATTCTATTGTATTCTAAGAGAATAAAAGTTATTTTTTTTTTCTCTTTGTTTTCAAATATAAATTTCATATTTATTGTTTATAATATTTATGTATATACTCGTACATCAAATTTCATATATAGTATGTATGTATTTCATTAACACAAACGTTATTATGTCCTTATAAATAACGCACATATATTTTACATTTGATTTTTTTTTCAATTAAACCATTTAAATATCAATACTTTGAGTATAGCTGTTGGACTGAAAGTATAAATTTAGCAAATTATATACTTACATATTATACATACATATATTCATTGTAGTTTTTATTACATTATTTCTTATTTTTAATTTTACTATATTTGTCTACAATTAATTCCATTTATATGTGCAAATCACTTATAAACTGATAACTAAGCTAATTAAGTTGTGTTTTTGATGTTCGCTTTTTTGTGTGTACTACATACATATTCAGTTAATATTATCTTAGTTATATGTTTTTGTTATATTTTCCTAAAGTTATTATTTTGTATTGTCAGTATAAAAACGTACGAATCTCTCATACATACACATAAGTGTATGTGTATGTCATCATATTTTCCACTTTTTCTAATTCTTATTTACGTAAAAAAATATATATGATAGATAAAAGAGAAAAATATTGAAAAAAAGGAGGGAATATAGTAAGTGCTATCATTTACATATTTATGCACTAAGCAAATGTTAATAATGTTTGTATATAAAACAGTAGTAGCGTTGTTTCTAATAACAGCATTAAAATTAAACTAGAGTTTTAATATCGACACATATTGCCATATGCATCATATGTATTCATACATATATGAATCTTGTTAAAAATTTATGATATGGTATAGAAAAATTTTACTATTTGTTATACTAAATATAGTACGTATTTATGTAAATATGTATTTCATATTATTACTAAAGTTATTGCTTAAAATAGTTAGAGTTTAAATTAAAATGTGTGAAAATTTAGAATATAAATAATATATGTGTATATGTATAATTTTGTAAGTAATTGTCTTCTAATAAATGTCATTGCTTAGTCGAGGTTCTTAAGGTCTTACTACAATATTTATGGGCCTTATTGATATTAAGTACATGTTGCACATAAATAGATAAATTTTACATTTAAGAACATAAAATAATCACAATAGTCCATTATAAAGTAAATACTAAAATAAATCAGTTTTTTTTAATGAAAAAACAAAAAAAAAATCCGTAAGAAAAATTTACAACTAAAAATTGACTACAATTGGGGGAGGCATTAATATTTATGGGGTTTTTTCATTACAAGCTGTATGTTTGCATTTTGCATTTACACGCATTACTTTCTTTGCCTGTCTGTATATTCTAACGTTAGCAATCACATCAACACTCCGCATTCCGTTTCATATTGCGCGCACACACATACATATGCTAACCATATTTTTTTATATATTTGTGCATTTCTTGCGCATCTTTGTTGATTTTGAACTAATTTTGCGTATCAGCTATCATTTAGGTCTTATCTTTTCGTACATAAATTTTTGCAAATGTTTATTGTCGGGCACAGTCAATTTACGTTTATTATATTCGAACTGTGCCAATGCAAATTCGTATAATTCATTCTCCATTTGCCAGATTTTCGTTTTATGTATTGTATTTATTGTATCATCGTTAGGTGCAATTTTCCATGATGTTTGACGTAAATGTGATTTATTGGAATGTTGATAGTGTTCGCGAAAACCATGAAATATACTTTTGATGGGGTAAAGGAAAAACAATGAGACATTATTGTTACTTTAAGTGGATATTTTTTTTTATTATCTATGTAAATATGTGTTAAGTATGTATATTTACCGCGGTAATGAACGTTCGAGCAGATCGACAAAGTCCTCCATTTGCTCTGTAACACCAACTAGAAAATATTCATTAACCAAATTATGTTTCGCCTGATTTAATGCCCATTCGCTACCAGGCTCCCTACAAGGAATTGAGAACATAAATGATATATAATTTTTTTTTTTTTTTTTTGATGTAGAAAATATTTAGTCATACCAACACTCTGCTGCATGACCGCAGAAGAATGGTATTTGCAGCCACATGTTCTTTGGATCACAGTCTGGTTGCTTCGATAAAACACACTCATCGAAAGTCTATACGAAATATATATGGGAGTCAGTTAGTTGCTAAAAAAAAAAAAAAAAAATATGTTCAATTTGACATAGTCGTACTTACAATTTTATTACCCGCCTTTTTACGTACTAAATTCGGACGATAGTTATCACCATAACGTAGAAAATAATAGTATGAAACTAGCCTATCCAATGGCTTACGAACTATATTAATATAAATAGGTTTGTGTGCTATTTGAAATCTATATAACGAATACAATTTGTGCCATTAATAAAATTCAAAATTATCAAACTCATTTATATTTACTTGGAAAAATCCAAAAACGCCATATGACCATGATAGAGCGCTAAAAAAAAAAGGAGTAGTAGCAAAGTTAAATTACCTGAAAACTATAAAGTTAATTCCAAAAAATGCACTTACCTGGCTTCATTTCATGCCATTTAGTAACATTACGCACAAATGTAATCTACCAAACGAAAAACAAGAAAATCAATGCATTTGTTGATTTTTGAATATAAAATTTCTTAATATTGCAGGTTTTTGTTTTTGTTATCATTTGAAGTTTGCCAATAACACTCACCTGATTAGGCAACGAAAGCACATGCATATTTGCGGTCACATTTATATGCAAGACGTGAAACTTATTACGCTTGCACAAATCATAAGCAATGTTAACAAAACTTGTGGAGCCCGTTTTAGGTACACGATTATACAGTACTACTAATTGTTCCTCATAATCGAAATTATCCAAAGGTAGTGAGACTGATGCACCACTTGTGACTGTTGCTGTTCTTCCTAAAGGTTTAATGGCTATAAAAAGCACAAAAAAAAAACTGTATAAATGAACATACGTACTGCAACCAACTATTAACAACAATCAAATACTTGCACATACCGTTACTCCAGGTCTCCTCAATTCGTACCTCGGATGCCCAGATATACCAGTAGGCACCCAGTGCTAGCAGGCACAATGCGCAGAAGGCAAACCAATGTAAAGGTTTCCAACCTACCAGCATTTTCTTCAATTTCTTATGCCAACACAATAGCCACTTCATCCTTATCAACAACAACAAACGCTTTTCACTATCTGCAGATTTGAACAATTGTGATTTGTGTTCATTTTTGTGGTTGTCTAGATGTTCGTGGCGATTTCGTATACATTTAACTAGTTTTTAATTATTTAAACCTTGATAACGCAAATAACTTTTTATTTATAAGTATCTGGTTGAATCGGAATTTCGAAAACACCCTTTTAAAGACGGCTACAAATTGAAAGCTATAGTAGCTTTGTTGAACAGCTGTTTCCAATTAAACAATTCGTGGAATGTATTCAATAAAGTTGCCGGTCTAAATTTTTTTTTTGGTTTTTCGGTTTTTCTTCTATCACCAATATGAGTCAAAAGTCTCGTTAAAAAGCGAGTTTTTGAAATTCTTAAAAATGGCTTAACAACCTGCAACTAATGCTTTCTTTCCTTTGAAGCTTTTTTAGAGCGGGATGCGATTTCATTTAAATGCTCTTCGGGTCTAAAACTTATTAACTTATTTCGAAGTAAGCCTTTAATGATAGTTACTAGACTTATATGTATATACATTTTTTAATTAATATATAGATCTGAAATTGTTAGGAGAACACGTTTTTAGGAGAGAGTTTAAAGTTTTAAAAATTTCTTTAAATAGTACACATTCAGTCAAAAATGATAATTCAAATGAATTAGTTGATTTTCTTGAAGCTATCGATATTTTTCTATACCACATTAGAGAATTGTCCCACTGTGCATTTTCCTGAGTTTTGACAATTGTTTGTGTTGTGTTATTTGAAAAAGTAGTTGCATGTGAATTTTGACGCTATTGTAAAATTTTTGTATAAAACAACAAAAAAATATTGTAAACAAATAAATGGAAGTTGAATTAAACACAAGTAATCTACGTAATTTGTGTCGTATATGTTTGGGTGAAGGTGATTATAATTTATGGGAACACAAAGTCAACTGGAACTGCTACAATGAAGACGATCCAAACACGGAGGGTGAGGCAGTTGCTGAAGGCATTACGCTACACGAAGTATTGCAAATGTTTAATGATTGGCAGGTATAGTTGTTATATTCCTTGCATTATTCTGTTCAATATCGATTTTTTATTGTTAGCATTCCATACTTGAAAATGATGGGGAAATGCAATTGATTTGTAAAGAATGTTTAAGCGAGCTTCAGCCCCATTATCGTTACTACAAACGCCTGTGCACAGTGAATAAACAAATAAAACAGCTCTATGAAGAAGCACTACAGCAAGAGGCAAATGAAACAGCATTATTACAGACAAATAAAACTATAATAGAGCAAGTAGAATATGATAACAACTTGCAAGAGTGTGTAGATTACATTGAACTTTCACATCCAGCAGGTCAGTTTGAGGTGGTCGAACAATATGCTGATGATATCGAAAAGTCTTCTGTGCCTGCAATTTCCAATAAGCAAGCACAAAAACGTAAATTTGCTAAAACTCCAAAATTTATACTAACAGGTGGTGTGACACAATTACTGACACATGCCACTGGTGCCACTGCTTTAGATCTGCCAGCAGACTCTACTCAGGTGTTATACACTCAAATGCTGTGTAGTCCGAATAAGCGAAAAAGAAATGAAGAAGTAATGGAAATGCCTGTGATGGTTGAAGAAGTGGATAATAGCCACAATAATTTGCTAAGCGAATACAACACACTTGTCATAAACAAAAGAAGAGTGACAATTGAATATATGAATAGCTGTCAACCAGACGATCAAGCTGCTCTGGTCACTACAGTGGCTGAAGTTCCGTTGGATTTGCCGCCAAATGAATTATTAAAAACGGATTGTGCAACAAATGAACAATTGCAAGAACATATAACAACCAGCGACAAAGAGGAGAAACAATCAGAAATTCAAACGGAAGATGTTAATGATGAACTGGCTGCTTTGCCTTTTTCAACACTCAGTGCAGATGATGCCGGCCGCTCAATATATGTATGCAAATATTGTCCTCAAGCTTTTACTGCGCCTTGTTTTCTTCTAACACATGCACGTAAGTCGCATGTTTGCAAGTATTGTAGCAAAGCATTTATTAAAACCCCAGATTTGTTTGCACATGTAAAAGAATCTCACACGAATTACAAATGTAGTATTTGCGGTAAAGAGCTCAGTTCTAATGGTAATTTGCGTGCGCATGTTAAACGAATGCATGGATTAACAACATCTGGTAGCCTCCCACATACAATTAATAGTCATGAAATAACGGATATAAATACGGAAGAGTATGGAGATGGTCCTGGGCAAGGAATTTTTTTGGAGGACAGATCCCATCAAATCTTGGCTGAATACCTTGACTAAAGAAATTTATTTTGATTTGTTGTTAAAAAAAAATAAAATTAAACAATAAAATCATTGGCAATAAAGTAAAATAAATTTATTATGGAAAGGTTTAATTTTAATTTATAAAATCTGTTTTCTATTTCACTTCAATTCTTGCTCCGTACTTATCCGACCAGAATGTTTGCGCATTTTGTGTTACTTCTTGACCCTTAACTTTGTCATCACCGTCAATATACATTGGCGTGAATTCACGGTAAGCAATGCATACTCGTCTTGTATTGATGTCTTCACGTAATACAGAATGCACAAACTGAAAGCGTGCTGGACCGTACATCACCATAAGAGACAAACTGTTAAATATATGTTGAAATTTTATTTTCATAATTATTCCACCTTTATTTTAGTAATAACAAACATTTTATATAATCTTACTTTGGCATTGCGACTCGTATTACTTTTCTTTTAAATGCATCCAATTCTTTCTTCTCCATTAATGGCAATAGTAATTTCTTCTCATACTGAGGCACTAAATCCAAATTATATTTCTTAGGTGTTGGAGTTGCATCGAAGGCTGTGAGCGTGAGCACTGCATCGCCAAGGCAATTCACTGTCACTACGCGTTCGCCCCATATCCAGCAATCATCTACGTGTGGATCAATGGAAGCCCCCTTTGAGGGATCATACTCCAAAGAACATTGCTCAATTGTTTGAAAATCTCGCAGTAAAGCATTCTCACGTAATCGTTCTTGTACGAATTGTGTGCTTGCTGGAAAACCATTAAAATTGCCGTTTTTTATTTTTCGTTGACGAAAGTTGGTTTTGGGACCAAAATTTTGTTTGCGTCGCCCACTTTGGGATATATCCCAGGGTAATGCATCTAGGCTCTTCATCAACATTTCTGCCTCTTTTGCATTTAGAAACTGTTCCTTTACATACATTCCTGGAAATGGTAGTCCTTCCAAACCATTATGTAGCGGATGTTTTTCACGCACTTCCCATGGATTCCAACCTTCAAAGAGCCTCTCACATAAGGGGCAAAAAGAATAAGCTTGTAACTGTTGCAGCTGTTCCTGAAGTGAAGACTTTTGGATATTGAAGTCTTGCTCACATTGTAAGCAGGTGCGCACACCTTTGCAACCACATGGACGTATTGTATTCATTTCGTGAAGACTTAAATATTTAACTTTACTCCAGTGAGCAATTGAAAAACACTAAAAAAGTAAACATCCCATTGACGTTTCTAATCGAACAGCTGACAACATTGCTGTATATTCCTTATCATCTAATAATTAATTGTTCAAATTTCGTTTTAGTTTAAAAAAGTTAAATTTGCATTAAAAATAAAATTATTTATATAATTATCCCAAGAATGCTCAAAAGTCTTAAGAGAAATCCCTAGCATCATTTAAAGTTTTGCGAATGCCTAAAAAATAACTGTTTCAAAATATCTTCTGAACACGTTCCACATGGTAAATGAACACGGCAACTATATGCCGTTATCATCAAAATAAGAATCAGCTGAGTTTATTTTTCCACTAATTATTTGTTTAATCATCACTACGACATGAATATCATTTAACAAAATATTAAAAGATCTACAAGAGGTGGTAAAAGTACATTTAAAATGAATAACAGCAATCCAAATGTATTTTTTAATCCGCTAATTAGTGGAATACAAAAAGTGGTTCTCTACGAAACTCGTACGGTGAGTTCATATAGTGCATATGTCAAGGAGAGCGATCTAAATCATTTATTAATCCCATGTATTGTTCATTTTCCAGCGCCTCTACCTTGTAGGCAGTAACAATCGCGAGACTCGTTTTCGTATGTTAACAATTGATCGCACCCAACATGACCGCGTCGTAATCGAAGAGAACCCAAATGAATTGAATGCACTAGAAATCCGCAGATTCCTCAGTTCTCTTGGTAGCTCACCACGAGTTACCTCCGCTTATGGTGTACTTGGTTTTGTTCGATTTCTTGAGGGCTACTACTTGCTCCTCGTTACAAAACGCAAATGTTGTGCACACATTGGCATGCACCTGATATACACCATCAAGGATACCGTAATGGTACGTGTTAATGAACCGACAACATTACGTGCGCCACATCCCTATGAGGAACGTTACAAAAAGATGTTTCAAAGTATTGATTTACGTAGTAATTTCTACTTCTCTTACTCATATGATCTGACGCGTACACTACAATATAATGAATCAGCGCCTCGTTTTGTTGGACCCAATGTTGATTTGGAAAACGACGAACCTCTACCAGACTGGGATAAACTCACAAATAATGTTATGGCGCCTGATGAGCGTGTCAACTATGCTTTTCGCAGCAACTCTCGTACACGATTTGTTTGGAATGCATTCCTCTTGCAGCCTATGCGTGGGATAGTGCTTAAAGATTGGATGTTAGAGGTGACACATGGTTACATAAGTCAATCGTGTATTAGTATTTTTGGTAGACATGTAAATGTCTGTTTAATTGCACGCCGGAGCACACGTTTTGCAGGCACACGTTTTCTTAAACGTGGTGCTAACGTGCAAGGAGATGTCGCAAATGAAGTCGAGACGGAACAGATTGTTACCGACGGGCAGCGAATGTGCTCTTTCACTCAAATGCGTGGCTCAGTGCCTTCGCATTGGTCGCAAGATGTGGTTAAAATGGTACCAAAGCCACAAATACAACTAGATATTTCTGATCCTTATGCGCAGACACCTGCGCGCCACTTCGATCGTTTACTTTTCCATTATGGTGCGCCGATAATCATGCTCAATTTGGTAAAGAAACGAGAGAAGCGTAAGCATGAATCGATCATTTCAAAGGAATTGGTCGATAGCATACGTTATCTAAATCAATTTTTGTCACCACAACATCGTATGAAGCACATACATTTCGATATGGCACGTAAGAGTCGCGGCGGTGGTAATGTTATGGAAATGCTTGCCGATATAGCAGAAAGTGTAGTCCAGCAAACCGGCATGTTCTTCAAAGCGCGCGGCAGCAGATGTACTTTCCAGACGGGTTTAGTGCGTACCAATTGCGTTGATTGCTTGGATCGTACGAATACGGCACAATTTGCTATTGGAAAATGTGCATTGGGACATCAGTTGGAGCTTCTGGGATTCGTCAAGTCAGCCAAGCTGGAATTCGACTCGGATTGTGTAACGATGTTGGAGAATTTGTATGAAGAACACGGTGATACGCTAGCGCTGCAATATGGTGGCTCTCAGTTGGTACATCGCATTAAAACTTACCGTAAAACAGCAGCATGGGCTTCACAGGGTAATGATATTATGCAAACATTAAGTCGTTACTACAGTAATACGTTCAGCGATACAGAGAAACAGCATAGCATTAACTTATTCCTCGGTTACTACATACCAAGTAGAAGTCACACAAAACGTGAGTATCTCAGAAATTTGGTTTTGATATTTGTAATTTTCATATACATTCCATTCCCTGCAGAAAACCAACCCATTTGGGAGTTACAAACGGATTACTACATGCATAATGTTTACAAACCGCTGACCCCACAAAACGAAACCCGCCTTATTACCGATTGGGTACGCCACAAAGTACGCTCCTGCTTGCCAAACTCCACTTCAGACTCGAATAAAATTGTCAAAGAATTATTTCGCGTGCATTCCAAGGGACTCGAAATGATCGACGCCTATTCCAACTATCACCAGTCCTTTAAATGGACCGATCTCAGCGAGCACATAGCCTTTGAAATCAGCCAACTAGCACTACGTTATATGCCCACATTTCGCACAAACTATTCGCCTTTTCAGCGGCAAATTCAAGATCGGAAAGCGAGAAAAAATCCCAATCTCACTGGTCAAAGTTCGACTAGTTCAACTAATAGTAACTCGTCCAGTTCTAGTTCCGAGGCAGATGATAGCTCATCGGATGAGGATTTAAGCGCTGGTTACGCTGTGAAAGTTGCAAATCAGGCCGAATTAGTGGAACAGGAGCCATTCACGCTCGAGTCACTACTACCACCAATGAAAGAAGTGTACGGCTGCAAGATCACTAATCCATCGAAAGAGAATATGGATATTTACAAAAAATATGTGCAGATGGGCAAATTATCTAATGGGTATAATAGTAGTTTTGCACTTTCCTCCACATCGGCGCCACGTGAACGTGATAATGAAAAGGCTAAGCTGAAACGTGGTTTGCTAAAGCCATTGGGAAATTATGGACATGATTCGTATTTGAGTATTAAGCCGCCAACTGTGAGTGAAGAAAGTCAGAAAATATATGCTGAATATTGCAAAATACCGCGAAATTTTAATGCAGTGCAGAAATTTGAAGAGTTTGACGTTCTTTACCGTTATGTGCAAATGCTCTGAAATGTTTGCTGAAGGTCTGAAATCTTGGATAATGCTAAATACACTTAACTCAAACGGGCGTGAGCTATAACTGACTTCAACTTGAACAAAAGCAACAACAATTTCAACATTCATGTGACGGAGCTGTTTATCATAGTGTTTTCTTACCTTTAGTTTCGTTCTAGGATAAAAGTATATATATATAACTTAAATTTTTTCCACATTCATCTTATACTTATAATTTTAAAGTTAAATACTTTATATGGGCATTTTGAATTTTTGTTTTATATTTATTTTTTAATAAATGTTAATTTTTGGTCTTTATCACAATCGCCTGATATGGAAAGAATCACAAGGGAATTTCTTTTCTTTATACATACTCCTATGTATGTACGCACATATGTGTATAAATATTTAATCTACGAAACACAATAAATATATTTAAAATAATGCACAACACTTTCACCACATTATAGTTTATGTAAATAGTACGTAATCTCTGCCTTCAATTAAATTTAAACTATTTAAATTCGCCTCAAAATCACCATTAGTGATATCCAATTTCATACAAATCAGCAGCGGAGGACGCGCTTGTGTAAAGTGTATAATGGGCACTGAGTAAGTGAAACGATGCATTTTCTCATCGTAGTGATTGTAAGTTTTGTTAATTTTCTCTAAAAAAACAATATGCGAAAATAGTGAAATTTCAATAAAATTAAATCTCTAACACCCAACTTACTTTCATCCACATCACAAAAGGCACGCACATTGCACTTGAAAGCCTGCGGTAAATCGCGAAAAAATTTACGTCCACACTTGCCCGCATTCCAAATGGTGAAACCATTGCTCCACGGTTCCCGGAACAACACGTGCGCTAGTAAATGTTGCATACGTAATTGCCAAATCGTTTCAGCAACAATTGAGAATGTAGTTGCCGCTGGATGATAGCGATACAGTAGTAGGCACTCATTAACGCGCAATACGCGCCCACCGCCATCTAAGTGTGCATAGAAAAATATTAAATCTTCTGGTGTGCCATGACCATGTTCGCTGAAACCACCCGTTATTCGATCGTAAACTTTTCTATGACATAGCCATGTAGGCATAATCACGGTCGGACCATTAGATGTGTATATTTGTAAAGCTAGTTTTGAATCGTCGAGATCGTTTGCCCAACGTGTGAAGCGACATGTTGAATTCGCGGGTGTGCGTACAAATTTGCAACCAATAAGCTGAAAACAAAGATATCAAATTTATATAAAGCGCTGTCATATTTTGCTAACCGCATCTTTATTGCAACAAGCCAATGCATATTGCATTTGTATACGCGTTGGCAGCATTTCATCGTCAATATCTTGAAAACACAAATATGTGCCACTGGCAATCTCTATCGCGCGATTGCGTCCATAACCCACTAAAAATAAATAATATTTAATGTAAATATTTTCATCATTTCAACTATTTCCTTTCTTTCACCTCCCTTTGGCTTTTCACTTTCATTGCGTACTATATGCATCCGTATCCGATGTCTGTGAAATTTCCGCTGCCAAAATGTCAATATTTCCGCCGTGCCATCTGTACTGCAATCATCAAAGACACAAACCTCAATTTGAAACACACATTCACGTTCCACCTTTTCCGCTGCTGCTTGCTCAGTTGACAACAACAACAACTCATGGTCCACATGCTTATGTTGTTCTCGATGCATTTGTTTTGATTGCTGGTGTTGTTGTTGTGTTTTTTGTTGCTGCTGCTGCTTTTTTTGCATATGCACAGCTGTGCACTGTTGGAGTATCGACCGAAAACAATTGTCAACCCACTTTTCGCCATTAAGCACAGTGACAATTATAGACTGTTGTTTTATGTGTTTGTTTACGCGTAAAAGAATGCAAATTATTATTACACTTTAACTATTACATTTAAACAGTTTTATACACTTTAACGTACCACTGTATCCTCGTCCATTGGCGCCAAGTACGCACAACAAAAACACAATTGCCGGCAGCAAGGCAAACAATCCGATTGGTGCAGCAATCAAAATAGCAATGTGTAGCGTTGCCAGTTGGTAACGTAGTTCTGTCGTTTATTAAATCAAAGAGCTTTAATATCTCCAATATGTAATATGTTGAAAATGTTTGATTTAAAACATTTATGTATAAACAAGATATTACACAACATGCTCGATATGCACATACTTACATCACTTATATGTCCCAACAACATTGAGTAGTGAGCGTCATTTTGCCTTATCTGGCAACACTTTCGCCGGTGACATTTGTAAATAGAATTTGTTCCGCCGCGCCATTGTAATTTCAAATTCGTGTTTTCTTCATTGTAATTTTATCGGTTGCACTCGCGAACAAGTTTGATTTACTTTATTTTTAATTAAAAATGCTTCTCAAATTTCGGACGAAATATCTATGTATGTGTGTGGTGTTGTTAATATGAATACATATATATATAAGAGAGAAGATAGTAGATGTGCAAACAGTGTGTGCTCGCGGCGGCAGACGGTCTAGCGGTCTGTCCTCATATACATCAGGCTTTTTCCAAATCCAGTCGTGCGATAACTAATTTCAATATCGTAGTATATAAAGTTTTATCTGACTAACATATGAATATATGTATGTGTATAATTAACGCTTTCCACTTCAATTTCGATGTCAGCGATCAATTTAATTTAAGTTCAACGGATTTTGTTTAGTGTTCTTTTTGTTTTCAACAGCTCAATTGTAATTATAACGGTGATCTTAACTACGGTAAGTTAAAAGAAAAAATTATTGAAAGTTTTTAAATTATATTATCTTAGCAGTAAAAGTGGTGTTGAAATGAAAGACATTCCCGCAATACTGGTCAAAATTTAAAGAGGATAATGAAAAGTGAAGGGTCAATATATTAGGCGTAGTAAAAAGTTCGTTCGGTTTTTATCTAAGAGATGACGTTATTGTCCATAGTACTAGTGTTACGTATCGCATCATGTCATACTATACGGCGCTGAAACGTGTTTATTCGCGCTAAAAGTTTGACCTTGACAGTTTTTCGATTGATTGACTCAGTACGTTGTGAGCGCTCGTCAAAGATGGACACCAACAAAGAGAAAATTCGCTAAATTTTACAAATTTTCTTCGATCAAGGCGAAAAAAAGGTTTGAAAGCTGCACTCATTCAGAAGAGGCCGTCTTTCATCAACAGAGGCCTAATTGTGTTCTATCAGGAGAACGCCACACACGTCTTTAGTGACGCGCCAGACAGAAGCTCCAGGAGCTCGGATGGGAGGTCCTAATACAGCCACCTTATAGTTCGGACCTGACACCAAGTGATTACCTCTTTTTCTGTCCATGGCGAACGCGCTTAACGGTGAGAATTCGGCCTTAAGAGAGGCCTGTGAAAATTAACTCTCTGAGTTTTTTGCCAAAAGGGACGCAGCCTTCTACGAGAGGGGTATAATGAAGTTGGCATCTCGTTGACAACAAGTTTACGAGCAAAACTGCGCATATTTGACTTAAATGGGATAAATTTACATAAAGTTATCATATTTTGAAAAATCGATAAAAAACCGAACGAACCTTTTACTTTACCTAATATATAAATATTGATCAGCTTGAAAATCTGATTGCAGGCGCAATTTAATTTTTTATTAAAATTAATTTTCTATAACTTTTTGAATGTTAGTCCGACACCAGGATTTGAAACCGAGCCTTCCGAATGACAGTACGCAATGCTAACCACTCGGCTCCCGCGGCCGTCATGTAGTAAGGTCCCTTAATAAGACAAAAATTCTTATAGAATCCAATTTTAATTCACTTCTTCTTGGGCTTGAAAAAAAGCTAACTGTAAATATACAGTCGCCAAGAGTTTGCGAGAGTGAGTAGGAAATCACCTACGTTGAGTTCGACTCACGATGTTTTTACATATATTTCGAAATATCTATCTCCTCTGTCGTTTTTTTGGTCATCAACAAAATATCCAAATGACAGTTCAGTGTCTGAATATGTAATTCCTATGCCACGATCTTGTTAAATTTCGGGAGCATGCAGTTTGGGGACCGTTTACAAAAGTCTTTCAGCGTAAAATCGGTTGAATTTGTTCCGTTGCTGGCTGAAGCTGAACTGCATCTGCTTTTCCTACACAATTTTTTGACTGAAGCTGAAGTGCGTTAGTCCATTCTACGCTATTGCCTGGCTAAAGTTGAGTTGGTTGGTTGGGTTCATCGGAGTTCTTATAAACAATCTTGACATCATCCAAACACTTGCTCACTAATTCCAGGTAGCCTGGAGAACAACCGTTTAAAAACTGTAGAACTTCCACGTAATCTGGTGGAAGAAGGGTGACCAAACTGCTCCGTTCAGTTAAAACAGAGAGCTCATCCAATTTAGAAAGTAGCCCTGAGCTCCGTATCTAACAGTGTGTCTTCACTTTAATAAAAAAAAGTACAGGTCTCAGCTGTGTAGAAGTAGTTGAACTATCGCCTATCATCTAACAGTCAGTACATTCGTGTCTTGTCCCCTACTTTAGTGTTGATAGTTATATCTTTGAATTGTAGACAACTTTGTCTATCTAGGAACCCGCATAAACAGCAATTACAATGTCAGCTAACGCAGAATCTTTCTTACTGAAAGGTGCTCTTTTAGATTTTAAGACAATTGAATAATAAAGCTCTCTTTCAAAGAACAGAAATCCTGTACTGTATGGTAGAAGCCATGGGATATCGACAATACCCAATGAACCGGCATTTGCAGTTTATGAAAGAAAGATTTGGCAGATGTATGGATTTTTGCACATTGAAAATGGTTAATATAGACGTTGGCCTGATGAGCCAGTCATAACGGGCGAAAAATTCCAACTTTCACGAGTTCTTGTTACAGTGACCTCCGGTGAAAGCAAAGAGAGAAATTCTGTTCTTACTAGCAAAATAGCAAGTGGATAGGAACTTGCCGTCACTTAGCGTGCTAAGCGGTAAAATAACTACGAGGAGCATGTATGCCCGGCTGTTTCAACAAGGAAGAGAGATCCATGAAGATGAAGTCGAAATATTAGTACTGGTTGATCATTGTCGACGTCAAAGATTATGGCTTCCATTTCCTGGGATAGTGAGGAAATATTATTAATTGATTACTTGCTAAAGGGAACTGCAGTGAACGCTCAGTGTTATGCTAATTTATTGAGTCCGGCGCGTGAGGCAGTCGTACAGAAGAAACATGTCAAATTAACGGGCAGAGTGCTGTTCCTTCAAGACAACGCACCCGCTCATACCGCTCAGGTTGGGAGGAGTGCCTTAACAGCTACCCTGAAATTCGGATCTGGCTGCCAGTGACTTTTTCCTTAAGTACTTTAGGCCGTCAACTTATCAGCGCCCCTCGTATATTAAAGACCTAATGATTTGATTACGTTCGACGTCCTCGACGAGGTAAGGAAAGTGATGGGTGAAAGATGGAAATTTTTTCAATTCCATAAGCTTTGTTTAAGAGGCTGATTGTTGTGCACATAGCATAAGAGCATCGGTTATTGTAAACACCCTATAAAATGTCGATAAATTTAGCAGGGAAATTTTATAGCATCTTTTTTAAAAACTCTGCCTGGCATAATTCTTCTTAAGCACATTTTCTGAGAGTTAATTCGTGATCTTGCATTGCACCACTGATGTTTGGAATGTTTAAATACAAATCATTTTTTTCGGAGATTTATATTAAAGTTTCCTTTATTGGTACTTACTTTCCATAGAGAGTAATTCTCTGACTAATCAAACCGTTTCTTCAGTTATATCAAATAACAAAAATATATTTATATTTTATCTTCAAAATTCATTTATATTTTTTATTTTTATTTTATACTCATTTCGTCACATCCTTTTTTAATTATATAAAAAGTTCGTAATATTAAGACTTAAATTGCTAAACACGTATAGAATTACATAATTATGTATTAAGTAACTTTCTTGCCTGTAATATGACAGCTGTCAAATGCTTTAGACATACATACAGCATTTTGATTTGTATAATTAAGTATACTAAAGCAGTAGTTCCTGTTTTTGTTTCGATTTCAGTTGAAAAATTATGAATATGTGATTTTCATATTTACAAATTTTTGAAAAAAAAATGAGTATACAAGTTTAGAAAAATACTTTTTATTTATTTACATGTACATACATATCTAATAACAAAATCTTTGACGACAAAGTCCACTTTAAATATGCACTCGTATGTATACTAATGATTTTTTAACAGTTTTTATGATAAAGACGGTTTCCAATATGGAAAATATAAACATGAAATAAATGTAATATACTAAAATATAATATTCGTAATAGTAGCGAATGAAGGGCGTGAGTGGCGAAGCTTTATCTATCATTTAAATGCATGCAATGCAAATCAGTCTTATGGCAGTATAAACACAATAATGAAGTATGCAATTAATATAAGTTTCGATTAAGGAAAATAAACAAACAATTTGTTTGTTTTATGTTTGCTTTTCATATTTCAATCTCCCCCTGTATGTATAACGAAGCGTCAACGCTTCTCTACCAACTATTTGTAATTTAGTTAAGCAGCACAGCTGCATTTAATGTGTTGTGTGGTGTACATATTAGATTTGTAAACATTTCCGACTGCCATGACTCGCATAAACATTTTCAAACGCATTGATTAACTCATCCATGCCTTTGAGTAAGCCTTCTTCACAGTTGCCGGGTATCCAGGTTGCGCGGTGATTAACATTTACGCCTGCCGGCAGAGGTCGCGATTTGGCAAAGTCAATTAGCCAAGCGCCAACCTTATCGTCATCATAAACAATAAAGATACTGGAGCCAACAATTTCGTGACGTTGAAAGAATGTTGATTTTTCCATAATCATACGCATCTGCTTTAAGCGCTTGATGAGCTCTTTTGTCACGGAACGTTTTGCGCCGAGGAATTGCTCAATTGTTTGTGTAATTTGATCGCTATTGCGTACCGTCTTAAGATCCTTAACAGGTGGACGTCCACGCAGTCTCAAAGCCTCTATGCGGAAGCCCTTCGATTGAGATGATGACATCGATTCGCGGAAAAGCATATAGCGTAGTTTGGTAATAGCTTGAGCTTCCTCTTCCTCGGGTGTGGGTGCGAGCGGATCGACCGCTACCATTTTCTTATACAAATCGGAACGTAGTGTCTTGTTAGTCACCTCCGATTCGAGAAATGTGCGACAACCCATTTTGATATCCATAACGCATGGATCTTTGAAACCAGTCAAGAGATCCTGAAGTTCTATAAAATAATCGCCATTAACTTCTTGCGCACCATAAAATTGTGGTACAATTTTGGCGGTTTGTGGTTCTTGTGTAAGCATTTTATAAGCGAGCACCTCATTGTCAGTGAGATTGGCAACGCGTTTGCGTACAATGCCTGCAGTTGTGGGAAGAATACTGAAAAGAGAAAAAAGGAGAGCAAGGTAAGTAAATTGTTTGAATGAATATTACTAGAAGTGTAGTTATTGAATTCAATTTTTTTTTTAAGTTGATAAGAATACATAAACATCAGAAGTGGCATATATGTATATTTACCTTTCTGGGTGCCCGGATAATTGCATCCAACCTGGCGGTTTAACGTTTGTATTAAAATGCTGATTGGTTTGATTGTGTACCAAAAGTGCAGGCGTTGCTGGTGCGCTTAATTCCAGTGCGTTCTGTAATAGAAAAAGAAAATAATTTTATTAATTATTTGTTTATTTTAAGGAATATATACATGTATGTGTGTAGCAACAAAAACTGTTAATGAGCTAAATAAGTGATTGTGCGTATTGGCGCCTCAAAACTGTAATGATAAGCGTGTCTAGTTAAGAAAAGTGTGTATTTGAAAGTATGTACATACATATTTAATCAGAAATATTTTATGTATACATACATATATGTACATACATACTTAAAGCCGAATGTCAACGGCTGTCGCCAAAATGGCGACTAGACAACAGTCAGACAAAAGTTTATTTGTTTACAGTTAATATAATCGTTGCGCCGATAATCTAATATGAGCTTTTGAATGTCAAATAACAAAAAAAAAAAATATGTATATATGCATGTACAAGATGTTTAAATGTTTCACGTTAAAGAATTTTTGAAAAAACTGTAATTATTTGAACCAAATTTGTTGAGCCTACCACCTTTAGGTTATCTCACTAGCAAAAGAAGAACCCAGTTTCATGTTGCTTCCCCAGCTAATCAAGCTGCCAACGACCGATAATAGTCAGCTGTTCGTGCAGTAAGCGCTGTTTGCAAAAACAAAGACATTTTTTTGTTATACTTGTTGCTTTCCCAACAACTTTGAAAGGCTACAAGTGACGCATTTAAAGGGTGAGAGGACAAAGTCCGAAATCTGTTACGCGGAATGAATTCGAAAAGAAAATAATACTTGGAAATAGCAGCAAGGAAGTGGAAAAGTAATTTAATGTTTACACAATTATTATTGTTTCTTAATTATTTTTTTTTTAATTAAAATAATAATAATAGTAAAATTAAAAAAAATTAAAAAGTGATTTTTCAAATTCTATTTGTCAAATTGTTGAATATTTCAATACAAATTTGAAAATGAGATTGTTTCACGTGCTCCGTGCCTGATTTGCTCATACATATAAGTTCCATAACCTTTTATTGAACCCCACTTGGTTTTAATTTCCAACATTTTGAGAATATTTGCCGGTTTTGCTCTTTTTTTTTCTTGTGCAAAACGGTAGATTGTCAGTCAGTCAATAAATGTCAATGAACAACAATTAGCGTTAATAATTGTTGCAAAAGTACATATGCATATATACATACATATATATGTACATACATATATGTTGCTAAAAATGCTTATCAGCAATTTTAAGCGCGAGGAAGCATATTTGTGTGTCACTGCATGTGGGACCCAGTTTGAAAAGAAATATGATGCAATTGCTGCGTGTTGGCAATTTTAAAACTAAATTTGATAAGTTAATTTGTAAAAGAGCCGTTTTTATACTCTAGTGCGGTATATCAATTACGCTGGCTTATATACGTAGTTTCGTGGGCAATATCCAACCTAGTGTGTTCTTTTCTTTTGCGTAGCTTGCAAAAAGGCAACAGCTCACATTAGCTTGTAATTGGGGTAGGCATGCTGTTTACTGCGCCTTGTTGTTGTTGTGTAAAGCAGGAAGTCTGCGTGTGAATTGTATAATATGTATTTTAATTTAAAATTTAGTGCGGCATTTCGCACGCTTGCTTTAAATGCTTGCGACATTTTAAATCAGTGTTTTTTTTTGTTTGTTTTTTTTTTTTTTTGTTTTCATTTTGTGCACTTTAAACATTTCAAAGCCGGATTTTTTTTGTCTTTCTTTTCACTTCGGCGCCGCTTTCTTTCGCCACAAACATACCGCTTTGCTTGTTTATTAAAACTTATTCCTTATCTTGAAGTCTGTTGAACGTGTAGCAATAAAATGTATGAAGTGATGCAAAAAAAAAAAGAAAAAAATCAACGCTTATGCCTATAATATTACAGTTTTAATCGCATATCTCGCACGTTGTATTTATTTATTTATTTAATATTTTTTCGACACGCAACTCATTTCTTTGGCGCAGGCGTGTATGACGTGTGCTATATGTATGCATGTATGTATGTATGTATGTATGCATTCGAAGGTATGGAAAATTTTTGCATTTATTGTGTTAATATTTATTGTAGTTAAACAAAAATATTGATTTAAAAAATATTTGCTATGTATGCGTAAATACTTACAATGGCCAGAAATTTTAATAATGACATGCGATGTGGCGCGGGTAGTATATCACGTTGACTCAAATAATCGGTCATATAATTTTCAAAATCGTTTTTCTGCAATGAAAAAAATGAAGAAAAATAATGGTGAGTAGTTGAAAAAAATTAACAAAAAAAAAAAAATATTTAAAAATAAATAATTAAAAAAATTTTAAAAATAAAGAAGTTAAAAAAAAACTAATTAAAAAAAAATAAATAAAATTAAAAAAAAAAATATATATTAAAATTATATATTAAATTATATATATTAAATATAGTTATAAGCATTTTTGTTACTACTCCTCACGACCGTTCTGTGTGTTCTTCATCCCGTTCAACTGCATGAACTGCTATTTGTATTCACATAAACTAGTTATTTTATAAATTTCTAACATTTTGCCCCGAGCATATGGCATTGTCGCTTATCAGTCAGTTGGGTTTGCATTATTATTTTGTTGTTAACTGATAAGCAGCGATAAAATTTAACAACGCCATACAACAAGGGTACAAAAAAGTTTCGACAAACGTGTATGTGTATAAAAAAAAGTAATATATCATAAAAAAATAATATAAAAAAACATTTGATTATTGTTTTCTCTACATCAGTTAACATTGACAATAACATACTCGACAACAATATTTTTAATGGATTTCAAAAACAATTACCAGCAAAAATGTCAAAATGTTGAAGAGTTAAAGTGCATGTCATACTTGTACATTGAAATTAATTGAGAGGGCGAGGGCGGAAAAATAAGTACATTTTTGCCTTATGCCACTTGTTTTTAGCAAATCATTACGCTTTTTTTTGTTTTTGGGCACTGCTGGTGCGTGCTTGAAGGGGAGAAACCCAAGTGTGGCTAAAATAACTAAATTTTTACATATATAGAAGCTTCTAAAGTGCCGCTTAAGTAGCACATACTTTAAATATGTATGTATGTATGAATAAAATATTCAAGTGGCCACACTATAAAATCTACGCTTGATATGCCAGTCAAAAATTGCTTAAGTGCTTGAAGCGTGTATTAACAATGCTTGTGCAAATAATAATACTAATAATAAAAATAAATGAAAACTAATAAATTACGAAACAGAATTGCTGCGCTAGTAAAAAAATAAAAATAAAACGAAGAAAATAATCAATTAAACAACAAGAAATGCAAGCTTTCACACTAACATCATGCATACATACATGTATACATACATCGCCTTCTGTTTCAGCTACTTCGCTTTGCTTTACTTTTCATTCATTAAATCAAATCGGACGATAACGACGTCAATCATTTGATTAATGATGAAACCACAACACGCTGACCTAAAAAAAAAACACGCACACAACGCGCAAATATTTATCGCAACGATTTCCGGTTGTTAGTAGTGTCTGCATTTAGGAAACTACGCGCGTCATTCAAATATTTATTAGATACATTTCATATACTTACATATGCATGTACATATGTATACAAATAGTAGTAAATCAAAGAGCGTAAGAAAAAGTAAGAAAAAAAAGCAAAGAAATGGTAGCTACTCATATGGAGTTTCAAAGAAAATTTCATTCAATGTAAAATAAATCAATGAAATGCATAAAAAAATGTTATGTGTGAATCACGAATTGTGATAAAATACATATGAACATACATACTTACATACATATGTATAGAAAGATAATCTATTGTTGTAATACATGTCGGCTAGATACCATAATTTTTTTTGTTGTTATTTAATAAGAAAACTTAACTTCAGCACGTGAAATAGCCTTCATATTTATAAATAAATACTTCATATTATAACAACGCATTCATTTTGCATATTGTAACTGCTTAAATTTCATTATCAACAATATAATACAATATATTAGTGCCACACGCGTGCCACCAACCACTGAGCAGTGGTTTGATATTAAACACGTGTGCTATGATTGACAATTGCTGAAGTCACAAGCCAACACAGTTTGAGGGCCACTTTGTAGGGGTGAGTGCGCCGAGTATATGGATAAATGGCAGAGATTACGCTATTCTGATTTTATGTACATATATATATATATAAACAGTTGGTGATGCCAATGATCGGGTCTCACTCACATTTTGTAATTACAAACTTATATTTAATATAAATAAAATAAAAATATGTAATATTAGTGTCATATAAGTACTCAGTAGCGAGACATAAAACACGTGTGCCACGATTGGCAATTGCCGAAGTCACAAGCCAACACAGTTTGAAAGCCACAATTTGAGTGCGGCAAGCATAGAAAAGAAAAAAAACGGAAGAGATTCCGCTATGCTGACAGAAACATTTGCTTCGTACAAACAGTAACTTGATAAAGATTTAATTAAAATAAAAAAGAATTAATATAAAAAATATAAAAGTTTATATAAATGAAAGTTATTCCTTGGTTAATCTTCTAATTTACTTGTGCATTTGCTGCAGTCATTGTCCATATAACTAATATGAGTGAAAATAATGAATAAATTAAAAATTCGCTAATTACATATATGTGATTGTGTATATTGTGATTTTAATTAAAAAATGTTAATACTTTAACAGTGCAGCCGGTGAGTGCAATAAATGCGCAGGGTTTTTAAAAAAATATGCTTAATACTGTTTATGACAGCTCGCCAACTGTGTGTGTTGAATAAGAATAATCGTAATCGTGTTTTGTAGTTTAACTATCAGTTAATTTGTTATAGCATTCAAAGCAATGTAAACTAAAAATATATATTGTTAATTAATTTTACTAATTTATTGTAATGAGTGTTTGTTTAATGCCAAAATATATACACATATATGTATGTGCATATGGAAAATTGTGGAAAAAATGGCACGCTTTTTTTGTAAAAATTAACGTAAACTGACGCCGCGCTATTGCAGGCTGTATTAACAATGCGTTTATTTAGTATTAGCCTTTTCAAATATCTGTTAAAAAAAAGGGGGGGAAAAACAAAAAAAAAACAAATGCAGTTGATAACCTCTTGTTATCTGCTACTTTTCAGCAAGCTCATAAGCTGTATAATTAACACATTTGTATAAATGCTTTAAGCACATAAATATGCGGCAAAAGCTTGCGCAAACATCTCTGCAAGCGAGCGGAGGGCATAAAATGTGTTCAAGACTTAAGTTTTTCCATTACTGTAATATTTGTACGTATATATATGTATGTATGAATGAGAAGCATTGTAATTGCGGTGTGAAGAAAGTAATTAAACGTCTTTATAATCAATTATTTCTTGCGGGTAATAAAATGTAAAAATGGCATGGGCACTGACATGCCGCAGTGTTATCGCTATTTAAAAAAGGAAAAAAATGAAGAAAAATTACATATTTTTTTATCTTTTATTCTTAACAACGCTGCAATATTTATCTACGCTAATAACACTGCATAATCCACAAGCAAAGCTGCTTTTCAGTCAAACAAATATTATTTTTATCAAATTCTTGTTATGCTCTTATATAAAAAAGATTGCGTGAATGTCATTTAGCACATCGGCAGTGGCAAATTCAAGAGTTTTTTTGTCAAATCAATTTTTTTTTTAAATTATGCACTAAACTAGTTTGTTGCGTCGAAACTCGCCATTAGTATTGCGTTTCGCAAGCAGCTGACTGTCAATTGTGAGATAATTAAATATATACAATTTAAAAATTGCTACTAAAAATATATTTTTTTGAGCACTTTCGAACTCTATTAATGCACCTTTTATAGAATGTTTTTTTTTTCTCTCTAAAAATAGTTAAATCGCTGTTATAATAAATTAAATTATATGCTAAAACATCTCCAAGCGCTAGCTATATATATAATATTATTAATTTCAATGCTTAACGAGTATTACCGACTTTTAGTCCACATTTTAGGTTTTAGTGACGTCAATAGCGGCCTTATTTTTTCCATTTTTTTTTTTTGGATCAATGTACAGTGAGACCAGTTGGGTTAGTTCGTACAGAAACGAACCGTCGGTTTTAGCTTCTTATTGCTCGACTACTAAAAGCAGACTTTCAAAAAACCGGTGTGGTACCTTTTTTCTAGACAATGAGGTGCGCACGTCAGTATTGTAGTAAATTATTTAAAGAAAGTACAATGGCCGACGGCTTATGCGTTTAAGGCAAATTAGAAATTTATTAAATATATTTAAATGCCAAGTGAGCAAAAAGCTTATTGTAATTTATAATCAGGTGGGTTAGGTATATTTTTAGATATGAACTAAGCGCCAAATTGTCAAGGCGACAGGGTCTGAAATCAGAATATTTTTTTCCTGAATCAAAGACATTTTTTACGTTTTATCTTGTGCTACTGTAATGTGATTTGAAAAAATCTTTTTGAATTCATTAGCATGAATTGACGTAAATGAGTACAAAAAGAAAAAATAATAATAAATAAAAATAAAATTTTTTATTATTTGTAAAATATGTTATGTATTCAATGACTAAGCGACACGATAGTCAACGTGAGAGTGTATCTAATATTATATATAAGAGGAATTCCGTGCGCCATTACGAAAATATTGAAAATGGTTTTTAAAAAGAAAAAAGAAATTTATTTAGTTTTTTTAAGCAGATATGATTTATACAGAAAATATACCTATTAGATACGTAGTAACAATTCAATTGTGGCTATAAGCCAAAAGCAACTGTTAAAATAATTGCAAAACAAAATGCCAACACGTCTAGAATTGCTATTACCTCAATGTTATTGTATATTTATTTGTTTATATTTCTATATGTATATGCGTCTAAATTATTTGCATAAAAATACCATAATTATTGAAAATTTATATGGCATATATATGCGTATATTTACATATATATATATATATATATATACATACGATCATTAAATTGTTGTTGCACTGCTTTTTTTTATTTTTTTGTTGTGCAACATTTTATATATTTATAATACTTGCATATTTGTATATTTATTTTTAGCTCGATAATTATTATTATTGTTATTATTATTAGTAAAGAAAACCGCATTATCTTTATTCGTTTTTAATAAATATAAAATTTAAAAATTATTGCATTTTTCAATAATACATTTCTTCGGTGGCATACAATTAATTGCAGTATTAGTATTACTTGCTAAGGCATTT